TGCAATTCCTACTTATTACTACAAATAGGTTTCAGTGGAGACTCCTTTACAGCGTGCCTTAGCAGCACCAGAAAACAAACCCCTCTTATTCTTTTCTTGAGGCAAAGGGTCCAACAGAAACACATGTGGGCTATAAACCAGACAGTAATGGGAAAACAGGCAGTTCTTTAAAGCACTGCAAGATTTATTTCTGCCAGAGAAGGCTCATGTTATCTACAACTGCCTTGTATGACCTTATATTCAGAGAGCTTTTGGCAGTTTTCTTTTGTTTTATGCTTTCTTTTCAACCCAATGCTGCCTTCCTGGGGTCCTTACAGGGTGGCTCCTGTCTTGGTGCTTTAGCTATTACTGACAAGTAAATGAATCTATGCTATACAGCTCTACACCCTATCATCATTTAGTGGGAGATGTTTTCCCTGCTTCCTGTCTGGAATCTGTTCCTCAATCAGTGTCACATTTTTTCAGCTCTGTATTCAGATTTATTCTTGTTGAAAAACCCCAAGAAGGAGAGATTTCTAGTACTCTATTTGTACACGGGTCTGCAACCAGGCTTCTAAAATACATCTGTGAACACAACATCAGGTTCTTGAAGTCCTGAGCTTTTTTTAACCTTGGTGTTGGCACTGTTGGTTACATTTTTTTGAGGTTGCTTACCTCATCTTAGCAGTATCAGTGTAATCCAAGATAACTCTTCAGAAGTCAATGGAATCATCTAACAAAAACCCCCACACATACATGGAATAAAAGCCTCTGAGTCACAGGAGTAAATCTGTAGCTGTTTGACTAGGCTGTCTTCAACTAACCACTGGGTAATGAAAACGTTCTTTGCTGTGAGATTGACTCTGTTGGGCTTTTCTTTCTCAAATCCCATATAACATGAATAGATAGCTTTTTACTCTTTTTACTCTCTGTGGTACGTTTCATCCCTTGCTCTGTGTGAAGTTTTAGATGTTAGATCTTGGTAAAATCTGATAACAGGTCAGACATAAGACAAGTCAAAGATTTTTGTACGCTCAGTCCAAAAGGCCTGCTGGATGTTTCCCTGAGATGGCTTTGTGTATGTGATATACTGATGTGTGTGTGTCTGTATGCTACTACTATTTGTAAGTTGTTCACCTCTCATGGTGACACTAAACGAACTTTGTTGCTATGACTTTCTTTCCACACATTAATTATCTTTCAGAAAAGTTTAGCTACTTTTGACTATTCTACTATAACTGTAATTCACTGATGAATTAAATATAGTCAGGCTGAATATATTTCGGTAATATTTTTAATGGAAGATTAGGGGCTGGAAGTAGGTTGCAGGAATTCCCTTTTTGTAATGTTGCTTGGCTAACGTGATATGTCACACTGCAAACTATTCCCCACAGCTGTGCTTTCTCTTTTCTTTCTCATTTATGCTCAGTAGATACGAACGTGTTAACAGAGAAATGTCATCTTGTACATCATAATGCCAGTGAAATGAGAGCTGCTTAATCTTAAATGAGAGTTTCTACAGATATTTCCAAAGGAGAAGTTAACCAAGTTGTTGAGTTTGGCACTTTTGACCAAAAATCTGCTTCCTAAAAACACCTCAGTGTGATCTGACAGAGTTTTGAATACTGTTCATTTTAGAAAAAGAAGTGCATCCACTTCACGACCAGGTGAATGTTTTAATTTCTCCCTATAATACTTTCTTGCCTTCAAGGTTTTGCATGTGTGCTTCATTGTTACATGGCTTTTCCTATATTGCGGTTTTGGAACTAGAATTCTGCCTCTTTAATTTTTAACTGTTACTTAATGATCATCAGTTATCAGGTTTGACTTTTTTGTGACTTAATGATGATCATTAAACTGAGTAAAAATGGGAATTTAAAGTGGGCAATTCATCTGATTTGGACAAAAATCAGGTGGACTACCTTGCAAACATTTTACAAGAACTCTGGCTTTGTAAGCTACAGTAGTATTTGCTTGAGGACACATCTTCCACTGAAACCTTAGTTACTGTTTGTTTTGAATAGCATGAAAAGTTAAGAAGAGCCTGCAGTTTCTTAACATGTTATCCTCTAGAGGCAATGCTCCAGTAAAGTCAATCTGATTTATGTGTTTGGTCAGCTGCCCCCAGACACAAACATACTCTGCATACAAAACAAGGAAACGCGTTGGCACTTTGTCTTTTCTTGCACATCACACTATGTACCCCCTCTCACCTGAAACATCACTGTCTTGAAGGGATACTTCTTTTTAACTTCCAAAACTCCCTGTTAACCAACAAACTCTTAAGAAAGCTCCCCCCCAATTCCCAGATTTTGAAAAGCTTATGGGTTAAACATTAAACATGCTATATGAAAAATACTGGTGTATTAAAATGTACTGTATTTGAAATACCTGTGTGAATACTCTAAAATATTGAAACCACTGAACTGTGCTTTAGAAATATTTGGAGGTCTGTTTTGGGTTTTTTTTTTTTGTAGCGGCATGAATCTTATTGCAGCATGGGCTGCACAGCCTCCACGTTTCTCAAAAATACAGGTGAAATTTGCTTCTAGCCTCATTATGAAAGTGAATGGATTTTATGGTTAGGAATGGCTGTAGTCTTCACTGCAGAGGATTTTTGTGGCGGAGGAAAACAAAGGTGAATCTGACATGGTTTTCTGTTGTTTGGTTAGTTGGTTTTGTTTTTCTGGCAAGAAAAATGAAGTAGGATAGATCTCCTCTGGTCTTGTGGAGTTCTACTGCCTATTTCAAGATGACTTTCCAGCACTAAATTTTTCAGCTCTAAAACTACCTAGTGTTCCCTTTCTTGCTATTGTCAGAAAAAAAAAAAGTGACCGTTCCATTCACATTTTTATGCTTATCTTGAGGCTACACTATGCTTACTCTTTCTTGGCCAGACATAAAATTTACAGACAGCCTTAATGAGATCTGTTTATATTTAAGAGAATCTGACTTGTTTCAACCATACATCTTTGAGTTCAGCAATTTGCTGACATGTAATTTGTCGACATGTAATTTGTCATGGGCTTGGGTGATGTCCAGGGAGAAATATGAGGACCGAAAAATATAGGCTGTGTCAAAACTTCACTCCATGCCCCCTTGCAGCAGAAGGGCATTTCAGATGCATAGTGCACCTGCTTTTAACCATACGTCCATTCGTGCACATGCACAAATAGAGGTGTGATGGTCCTTTCTGTATCCCTGTGCCAACAATGACAATCATGACAATGATGGCATGAGGACCCTTCTGATAATTCTGCATTTTTTGCCATTGTATTTACCATGATGCTGCATGAATGTGGGGTTCCCAGCATCTAAAGGGATGTAAGATTTACTCACTATCCTGCAAGCCTCTTTTTATTTGGTCTTATTAAACCAGCTATTTTATTGTGCTATTTGTTGTCAGGCCCTTCTTACTGAGATATGAAAAGAACCCTGTGCTGTCCCTTTACCTCTCATCCCACATTCCTCAGTACAGAACAGAAGCCAAATTTTAGGCTAAGTTTTGGGGAAAGAAGTTTGCTTTTCTCCTCCCTTCCATCCTCCTCACGAGAGTAAGAAATCTACAGTTAACATTCAAACTGTTGTGCTAAAAGGCTTTCTTTACCCTTCATGTAGGAATCCAAAACGACTGCTGACATGCATGTGGACCATTACCCTAGTTTCCTTCTCTCTTAAGCCACTATATGAAAATGTTTGCGGTTTTTCCTTCAGGAGTTTCTGTCCAATACGCTAAAGCTAACTTTTTACTAGATGATTTTGTCTGTTCTCAACAAGGCTTGGAATAGTGGCAGCACAGAGCTCCCTATACATCATAGCATTATTCTAATTAAGCTTTACAGCCTGGCCATCTAATGGACTCGGAAGTGCATGACACAGTTGTTGCCTAAGTGCTTCATTAAAATCTTCAACAGGCTTTACAAAAGGTAGGTAAGCATTAAATGATCCACTTTCTAACACTTTTCCAAGTAATTTAGAAACTGATTTACATCACAAATATGGTACTATATCTCAGGAAACCAGCAATTCTGTGGGGTCCAAATGATATGATATTTGATATTTAGAAAGATTTATGATAATGGCATTCCAATACATGTCAAATTAGGCACTTATAAATCATTGGTCACATTGAATATCTGAATTTAAGTGATTTCATTAAGCCTAATATAAAAAGAGCCTGCCAAAAATCAATCTCTTTAGTTGCCAAAATTGAATGTTTTATGAATAATATTTTTAAATAGAAATAATTACGCTTAAAATAATCCCATGGTTCATTCATTTTAAGGACCTTTAAATCATTCCAGTCTTGCATCTGATTCCAAACTCGCAAGCATTATTAAAGTGACTTAAAGTGTTTAATGTAATACATATGGGATGGTAATGTTGCTAACTCCCTCAGGCGTACACTGAAAACAAATGTTTTTTGCAATTTATGCAGTAAGAACAGTACTTCCTCCTAATGAGTGAACACCAGACAAGTTTCAGAGGACTGTTATTCTTCTTACTAAAAGCATTTCCGAAACTCACAATGAGCTTTGAAAGCAAATCTCTGTTACTCTGCTACCACAGTTCCCTATTAGTGTTTATTTAAAACACACCAATGCTCACCCAATGAACCTTAAAGGAAATGGCATAAGAACAAGGAGCAGCTAAGACCAGCCTTCAAGAGGTTGTCTATGCACATCCATGTTCTTCAGGTTCACAACATCCAGCCTATTATTTTTTTATTGTTCTACCAAAAACTATCCCACTGCTACAATATCCATCACATTTTCAAATAGAAGACTTCTGTTTATTTTCAAGTGTTAATTAATCTTTAATTTCTGCAACTAGAAGGAATGAGTATGTGATAACGAGAAACTCTTCAGCCCTAAACCACTGCTAAGTTTAAGACTGACAACCACCTCTACTAAGTTTTGGTTCATGTTTCTGTTTTGAGTTTTCTTGTTCAGTGAACATGATGTATACATTTTGCATGTCTGTATTTCCACTTCCCTGTCACTACTTCAAAGTATTTGTGATCAGAGCTGCAAATAAAACCACAGAAAATAACTGCCTGATATCCCTGGATGTATCGATCACAACTGTTTGGTATTACTGACCATCACAGAAGTAGGATTTCCTAACAGAGTCAAGCAAGCACTTGCTGCCACTTTGCCGTGTGCTCCATCCTGGAACACCTGCTGCAACCCACACCATCCTATACGGAGAAAGATGCAGAGTTGCAGTAGCAACTGTGGTCACACTATCCTTCATTCCATGCAATAAATTCTTTGAGTAGGTGTTTACTCCTGCTATAGTTACAGATCAGGGCTGCTTGCCAAATTATTCCTTAATGCAAGCAAGAAAGCAGGGAAGAGAGGCTGCCTGAGCACATCCATCCCATCCTCATTGTTTCTTCTGGGAGAATATGAAACTGGTAGAGGGAACAGTCTATGTCAAACCTCACATTCTGCTCTGCTTTTGCAGCTACCTATCTTATTGCAAAGACAGCAGATGATACAGTGACAATGTATGCATACCTCTTTTCCATAGGGCCAGAGGTCCACACTTTGTGTCTTCAACAGTTCTTTGTAAATAGAGCAGTTCTCCATTTTCTCTCTCAGTCTGTCCTTGCATTGGAGAGTTACTCCACCACCAACTTGTGCAACCTCCAGATTTTTAGCCTGAAAATCCCTAAGGTATGAAAAGAACTCAGTTATCAAAAGAGCTCTGGACAAACCTGCCAATAGTGATAGTTTCCTATCTTAGTATTTCTCGTATTACATTTGAAATAGCACCATTTGATATAATTAACAAAATGTGATTTTTCCCCCTCTAATCCCCAAATCATAACACACCTAGAATTAGAACATTCACCTGCAATTACAAAAATTACACAGCATTGTAAAATAAACTGCTTCTGATCCTGATCCAATACATCACCTAGACTTGTCTTCATCCTGACATGTTTCAGGTGGATGTGAATTGCTTCTCACTATCTCACTTGAAAACCTCAATTCGACATAACAGTAACATCCAGGAACAATCCCTATTACTTATCTCACTGTGGATTGTACATAATCTCCTGCAACTTTATTAGAAGGTACAGTGGTTTAATTTTTGTGAAAAAAAAAAAAAAATCCCTTGCTGTCAGAATGTGGCTGAAAAGTATTTTCTAACCTATCTTCTCTCCAGCAGCATGCCAGAGTTGGCTGGGATTAAAAACTCCACTCTTTCATTATAGTTTTAATATCTTTTCCTTTTATTACAGCTTTCAAGCAGGATTTGGGGAATGCCAAAGCATTATAAAACTTCCCCAGGAAAGTTATAACTGAAAGAAAGCATTTTGAAACAAACCTGATGGAGTGTTGTTTGCTGCTGAGTTTTGTAATTCCTAATGAGAAAAACACCTCCACTCCTGCTGTACGTGGATAAGAGACAGCCTCTGCTGCCTCATAGCTGACAACAAACAGAACCCAGGGGATGCAGAGCTTAAGTAGGAGTCATCACTGTTTCTAAGTGCTTGTGAGACCATTAGGATCAGTGCTTTAACTGTATTGCTTGTTTTGCTTTCCGAGTTGAGAACTCTGTGATGGCTGGGGTCTGAAAAGTGTAAAGAGATGAACTGATTGATTTCTGGTTTTCAGCTAAAAGTAGGATTATGTCTTTGTTAGTGAACAGACACTGACTACCACATGGCTACTATTACAGAAGAAATTGTCCAGATAATTGTCAGTTTTCAGCTTCTTGAGGACTACATCTCCAAGTACTGAGTCTACCTGATACAAATATTAACTTGACAAAACCTCTGCAAACTATTGAAGGCTCAGAGGTTTATTTGCTTTTATCCTCTTCCTTCCTCCCCCCCTCATTTTTAGCTGTTCCTGGTCTTTGAAAGCTGATTGTTTGCTTCAACACTTCTTCGCTCTGGGCTCACCTCTGTGAGCTGCCCATTGCTGGGCTTCTGTGCAGGATGCTGGCTATGCAGGTTTAGCCACTCTCTTTTGATTTTGACTGATTTTGCCATTCTGCCACAAAATCAATTGCAATCTAGGCAGAAGACATTCCCAAGACTCCTCATCTCTATTATACAGGTTGGCTCTTAAAGCCAAACATTAAAAGCTACATGCCTCCAAATCGTTCTCTTAGTATCAATAATGTAACGTACAAATGAAGCGCAGCTAGCTATAATCCAGATTTATTCGCTGTGACTACTGCCCTAACCTAGGAAAACGTGCCTTCTCCTGTTGGGTTCTGTCTTGTTTTCACATTTCTTTACAGTATCTTTTGGGAAGATCTCTTTTGAAAGTTAGCCAATGAGGCTAAACCATCGTTTTGTACTAAGCAGTTCCAGTCTTCTGAAGTATTTATGTTACTTTATACCTTCTAAAGTTGATATGACCTGCTCAAATCATTCATCTTGTTAACACATTTTCAAGGTTGACTTGAAAATATTAACTTCATCTGGGGTTTTTCTCAACAATGTAACTCTAGTCATTTAATATCAGGAAGCTAGTACTTAGTAATGCGAATTCAAGAGTTTGTTAACTTTTTACTATTTGAAAATGTAAAACATTACTGGTTTTGTTATAGACTTAAAACAACTTAACTACTTGTTAAACTGATCCCAGTCTTCCAAGACATGAAGTGACATGGTTTAGTGATGGACTTGGCAGTCCTGGGGTAACAGTTGGACTTGATAATCTTACAGGTCTTTTCCAACCCAGTTGATTCTATTTTATGGCAATTCATTACTATTAGTAATATATTAAGGTGTATTGCTAACTCCTTATGATAAAGTTACAGTGAAATGTTTAATCAAGCCCCCACTGATGCAATTGTGTTACCTGTATTAACTCTGCAGAATCTGCTGCAACAAACACCTCCTTCCTTGCTTTGTGCATATCTTCAACTCTGCAGAGAAGGAAAGTGTCAATAATCAGTTTACAGGAGTACAAGTTTTTCACCACAGAAAAGAAGAATTTGTGGTTTAAAAAGCTGTATGCTCTTAAGAAAATCCATTCTGATGAACACTGATGGAAAAATGGCTTTCTGTAAGTTTGCTTTGAGTGAGGCACAGCCTATATTACTGCAAGTGGTGAAGGAGAAGTAAGGGCAAACAGAGAAATCAATACCTAGATTTCAAATAATGTGTTAACTTTCCAACTTGAAAATGGAGCTGCAGTTGCGTCTATATCTCAGACTATGTGCTCCTAGCTCTGTTTCAGAATGCAATCCAGCATACTGACATCAACATCTGGCAGTAGAAAAGATGCATGTTAACCTGCATTCATGCAGTTCTAGACATACTACAGTGAGAGAACATTAGCACAGTTCGTTTTGCCAGGTGTTAGCTAAATATTAAAAGTAGTAGTTTATAAAATGGCCTAGGTGCAAGATGATCTGGACTCCATTTTTCTTAGGGAAAAGAATGCAGATTTGGATTCTGTTCAGGGAGGTTAATCTCAGAGTGGCACTGAGTGCTGGACACTCACACTTCACACATGGAGGCTGGGTATCACCGCTGCCTTCTGCAGCGAAGACCACAGCTATGCCTGGCCAGTCAGTTATCATAGCCTTTCTTTATGCTACAACCATCTAGTGACTTGAACCAGTTATTTATCCTAGTTTTCATTTGTTTTCAATGCCTTAGAGGTTTTAGTAACTTCTGTCTGTCACTGATTTCCTCTTTGCTAAGGCATTTTTGGATGCTCCCAAAATCATGCTTTCTGCCAACTGCTTATTTTGTCAGACTCGGAAATGAGAGACTTTTATTCTGTGTATAAATCTCAGTCTTTCCTAATGCTCAAGTGCAAGCACGGCTTTGTCAGCTCTGTGGTAAAGATTATTTTACAGTTTTTTAAGAATCTTATTTCTGTTATTTTTTAGAAAGCCAACCTCACTTTGCATGAAATAAAACAGATGCGCTTTAAAACTTTCCAGTTGTTTCTGTTTCCAGTATGCAAATCTGAGTATTTGCAGAATTCATTATAGTTCCCTGAAGTTGGTGCAAATGGTAAAGTAGCATTATTCAATTATGTAAAGCAGCAGGAAAGCTTTTCTTCTTTGTGTCTTAATATAATAGCGTAAGTCAATATTCATGCTAATATTAACTGGAAAATTAATACCATTTCATTATTGCTGTCACAAATAATAAATATAAAAGCCTGAATAAGTGGATAGACAACACTCCAGTTTCCCCACTTCATAAGATTATTTTCAGTATTTATTTATACTGCAACTAGACATGAGTGAAAACCAACTGTGATAGGCAATCTGTATTTAAAAGCTGGGCTAACAGCTTACCTATGGTCTCCTCTTATCCCAGGAGAACAGTATAGTGGGCTTCTCTCCATATGCAGAACTCCACTTATTTTAAAGCACTGCTCATGCCCCAAGGTGCTCTTAGGATAGACCAATAGGCCATTAAATTATATAGACTGTATCAAAGACATTTGCTGGAGGCTTGAGGCTTTGTCTTTTATGATTATTGTATTTCAAATGAACACACTCATATCATTCAAACTTTTACCCAATTTGGATTTAGCTAAAGTGAATATAAATATCTGCATAAATCTGCAAACACCAAGGGAATAGCACAGATGAAATTTAGGCTCTTGAAGTCTAAGCTAACTAAGTTCTAACTGGTTAAAATTAGTTTTAGCTATGTAAACTTAGAGGAGTAGTAAATAATTAATACACGTATCCACAGCTCTCTCCATACTGATTTTAAAAACAAGTGAGTCCTGCTGAATCCTCAAATCACAAATACAAGCTAGGGATCACTGACTCTTCACTGGGGAGCTGAAGGCTTGCATTGACACTACCTTGAATTTCACTGACCTATGGGATGCTTCTGATTCTCATTATTAAAAGCAGACTCAATGCCAAGGAATGAAGTGGAAGTTACACCTTGGAAGAGAGAGATAAATGGTGACATCTTGCTTCTTAATATAGATCTTGATCTTTAGCCTTCCATCTTTTTTATAATAGAATTCATAAGGGCTATAAAAAAAACACATAAATGAGATAAAAGCAGGTTTATTTCATATTGCTGTAATCTTGTGTTTGCAATAAAGGATTATTCAGAAAGCAATTCCTACAAAAGAAGAAAACATGAACTATATCAGCGTGCATATGCATGCTCTTTTTCTCTTTCTTTCCCTCAATTTTTGCTGCATGTATGTAATGCTAATTTTGCCCCGTATCTTGGTAATTTCAAACTGCAGCAAGACAGATACATCTCTAATATGTCTCATAATAACAGCTAGAATACAAGTGGGTGTGAATTTTACAGAAAATACACTTGGATATTGTAGAAACTTTACTGCTAATGCAAGAATGTAGTAACTGACCAAGTAACAGCTGCTTGTGATAGGTAATACAGGCTGAATAATATAAAGAATTACAGACTTGGTGGGCAGTGAGAGACTTTCCTTCTCTTAAGATCCAATGCTAAGGTGCTGTGTGCTCTTAGAAAGGTCATTTCAGTACTGGTCATTGTTTCCGACTTTCTGACCATCCTTTCTGTATGAAACACATTCTGTCGTTGGACCACCCCTCTGCATGCAATGGTAAAGCAGTTGGTACTAGTATCTGATCTCTAAGAACAGGAAAGTATTGCCTTAGTACCACGGTTTGGGGGTTGTTTTGCTTTGGTTCAGGTTTTTTTTTTTTCCCCATAGTTATTGCACTGAAAATGACAAAAATCCTCCAGGGCACTAGAAATTGGTGTTGACGATTGCCAAGTGATATTACTTCCCCTCTGAAGGTCACCCACAGGATAAGCAGGATGTTAAAGACACAGCATGGCTAAGGAAGATGTCTTTCAGAAAAGACTGAAATCCAGTGTTGCTAAAGACATTAAATTTGCAGCTTTTCTGGACAAAGGAGGACCATCCAGAGACTAAAACTGAGTAATTTCCCCTGTCTGAATCCCTTCTCCATCTTCATCTGAATAAGCTGGTAATGGTTTCTGCAGTAAATGTGTTACACAGTGTCATGAGTCCTTAATCCGTTTGTGACTGCAGTGGACCTGCCTTTCAGTATTACATCCCATTGCTAAAGTAGGTCTGTGATAACAGCACACAGGAGCAACACTAAGGGACAAGACTGCCACACATATGTGTTGAATGACGCACAAGAGGGAAAAGAGAGACCTTCTCCTTTTCACGCCACTCATGTAACCCCAGTTAGCCCCCACTGCACACCCAGGTGGCCTGTGTGTCACACACATCATCCACTTCAGTGCTCTGCAGCCTGTGGAAATGTCACACACATTTTGTGCCCCAGGACCCTTCACAGATGCAGTGAGGCAGGGCCAGTCCAAACGCAACCCAGCCGAGGCTTGTCCCCTTCTGCTTACATGGTACCTGTGTCCCTCATTAGGTGTGAGTAGGAAGCCCCTGGCAGAAGAAATCCACAGGTTTTCCTTTCTTTTATTTGAGTCAAGACTACAGAGAAGGCTTTTCTCCAGAGTTTGCAAAGCTCTGTAATGATGGACTTCTTTATTACTATGAAGTTCTATGCTAAATAAACTAAGCATTATTCAGGACTCAGATTTGGAAGTGCTTGCCTAACTCCAGTTAAGTTCTAACAACTAAAAAACCACACAGGCCCTTTTAATTAAGATGCAAAGCTTACATACATTTTAGTGCAAGGCAGCCAGGATTTAACTGCTTCACTACTGATGCTGCATAAACTCCAGAAAGCTGTTATTCATTAATAGGTATAAGGAAACTCACCCTCTGTAATTAACATGCCTCAGTGAAGACTGTAGTCTTCACCACACTGGATTGTGAAAGAATACTGCACGAAAGCAAATGTCAGCTCTTTGTGACTCAGAAATCATTAATATTTTCACAGTCTTTTATGTACCACTGTGTTAAAATAGGAATCTTGTCTTTCCTGGTAGTGCCTTAGTAGGAAAGTAAACTAAATAAGAAATATACATTGTTTTATTAAATGGTCAGTGGAAGTGTTAAACTTTCTTTCACTGCACTGTAAAATGGCAAGGATCCAAATCAGTTTATAGCAGTGGGGATTTGCCTCTTTTTATTCACTTCTCTCAATAAAAGTAAGAAAACCAGTCTCCTTAATCTCATTTTTTTGTACTCGTTCTTTATAATGACTAAATTATAATTCTGTCACAAACTGCTTTTAGAATATAATTAATCCAGACCCAAACAATAATCACAATTAGCTACTGCATTTGGATTTGAGTCAGAGACTTGAACTGGGCAGGTTCACTTCAACTGTGTCATCAGCTTGAATAAAGCTCAACTCGGCTTCACTGTGCATTGACATTGTCAAATGACTTAGCTCCTTGGTTCACTGCTGCATCCTGTCCCCTTGACCTTTCACGCAGTATATTGGTTCATTCCTAGCTTCTCGTTTAATCCCTTTAAAATTCGATTCAGGAATGTTTTCTGGGAGTAGTTAAGAGGCTGAACAAGCAGCACAGGTTTTAATGGAGAAGCAAAAGAAAACAAAATTCTAGATAGTCTTCTGATGCCAGCAATACCACACATGGCCTCATGCCACGTCACCAGGCATGCAATGCCTCTCCCTATCAGGCAATTAAGGAAAGTAATTGCTCTGCAAGAGTCTGCTACATTACTTCAGTGACTTTGCATTGAAAAGTCACAAAACAAAGTATTTTAGGATACAAAGGCCTTACAGAAATCCCAGAAACGCTTGGGCCAGGAATCCCACAGGAGGAATGCAGATGCAGTTCACTGGGAAGGACTAGCTGTGAGCAATGTGAACACAAGCCACTACTGTATTACCTCATCTGGAGATAGAGGAAGAGTGGGAAGGCATCAGGTAAAATTTTTTATACTGATTCTTATTTTTTGTAATATTTATAAGTATTTTATATTTTTATATTATTTATTGGTGTCTGCATTTGTTATTCATAT